GAGCAAATACCTTACTGCAGACTTGTATGATATGATTAATGTAAAAGGAAAACAAAACAAAATTGAGTTAGTGTGAGGATGTGGTTTGAGATTAAAAAAATATTTTTTTTGAGATTTTTTGTTTTGTTTTGTTTTGTATTACACATAACTTTTATTCTTATATGCTTTGGACTTAGGTATTTTCTACAAGAGGGTAGGCAAGGCTATACCTAAAGTTAGCTTCCTAGGCATATTACATACTTGGTTTGGGTTGACATGCTTTTAAAGATTTTTAAATTGTTCCTTACTGTTGTCTATGCTAGACTAGTAAGGCATCACGATTCTCACCCATTACAGGCTACGAACGAAAAATGTTCAATTTGAGTAGAGTATTTTGCTTGCTATTACGGAGGTTATCACTTCACAAGAACGTAGGTATTTTATTTCCTCCTATAAGGGATGGAGCTTGGGTATGGAGCTCAGGTATAGAGCTCCTGCATAAGATGCATTATGTCATTATGTGTACATATGTTTCCTAATTTATTTGGAATAATACATAAAAAAAAATAATAAAAGAAATGCATATGAAATTTTTTTCATTTTTTGGTTTGTTTTTTATTTGTTTGGTTTTTTTTTAAATTAAAAAGAATCTAAGAATTAAAAAACAAATACCGATTAAGACTATTTGAATCAAAATTTGAAGATAACATGTAATTAATTATGGCTTGACTCTAAAAAATAAATGGCATCTCCAGCGAAGTCGCCTAGCTGTCGTAACGATTTTTATGTTCGTCAGATGAATTTGGAAACGAAATAAAAAATAATAGAGTCACCACCAATATTTTTTTGCATAGGTGCGATTGGCCTATTAAAATATATCCTTTTAATAAAAATCTTAAAATTAATTAAAATTTATTAAAAGGATAATTTTAGGGTTCGTGCAATAGTCTGAGTTTGGGAGTCGATTATGCGTGGGGAAGGATTAGCACCCCTATGATGCTCGTTTAAAATGGTACCAATTAATTACGTGTTATCCGTTGTTTTTTATAAAAATAGTCTTATTTTCGGTGTTTGAAAAATTATTTCCTTGATTTTTCATTTATTAGTTTTTTATATATATTATTATTTATTGTTTCATTTTTTATTCAAGAAAAATAAATTAGAACCTTTTTATTGAAATAATTCTTAAAATATTCCAGTACATTGATAACATTAGAAGAATTCTTTCTCACCTAGAGATTTTTTAAGCATCACTGCTCAAAATATTGTAAAATCTCATCCTTGAATGCTCAAATTTACTTTTCGTAAAAAAACTATGTTGTGCATATAAAATGTGAAATGTTGATGCACACATTTTATCTTACTCTTTAGAAATTTTGATTTATTTAATGAATTATTGTTATTATAGAATTTTTTTTATAAAGAAAAGAGAAAATTTTATCACATTAAATATTTTTATAAATATTCTAATACACTGGTAATATTTAAAAAAAATTTTCATTTAGGAATTTCGTAAAGTATCGCTACTCAAAATATTTTTAGAATCCCATCCTTGGATAATATTTCTTTTTTCCTATTTCTTTATTATTATTCCTTTATCACTTTGGTTTTTTTTAATAAATTAGTTAATTTTTAGTTTACTATTTTTATAAAAAAAAAATTTTTATTGTATTGAAAACTTTTTATAAATACTCCAATACACTGGTAGTATAAAATCTTCTCACCTAGAGATTTTATAAGTATCACTACTCGAAGTACCTTTGAATCTCATTATCGGATAAAACTTCTCTTTTTTTCTTACAATTTTTATTATTTTTAAATCATTTACAAGGTTTGTTTTAAAAAATAAATATAATTATAAAAAATTTAAATTATGTATTTCATTATTTATTTATTTATTTATTATTATTAAAACAATAAGAATTTATTCTAACAAATTTAAACATTTTAGCATGCCTAAATAGTAATAATAAATTTTAAAATAATCAAAATAATATATATAAAAAAAACAAAAAAAAGAAAAATTACCTTAATCAAACTGATCAACGATCCGGTCAACACAAATCTGGGTCGGTTCGAGATAGATCTAGGCCGATTCAACTGGATCAATCAGAATTCAAATGAAGAAACAGGTTACGGGTCAAGTACTAGACCTCGGGTCGGGTACGTAAACCCCAGGTCGAGTCTCGGGTTGACAAGCAAAACCTATTGGGCTAAAACGACATCGTTTTGGTCCTTATTAAAACGATGTCGTTTTGGCTATTGGTAACTTAACTAAAAGCCAAAAATTTTTTTACTTCATTTCTCCGACTTTCCCTGAAAAAAAATCTTTCTCTCTTTTCTTTTAGACAAGTCAGGGGCCAGTGACTGTCCGCTGCGACGATTGCCATGCTCCTTGTCGGTAATGAACTTCGAACTCTGTGTCAATGATCGAAAAATGCCAAAACTCATTCACAAGCTCTTTTCGATCCCCTAAACATAGATCCAACTTCTTTTTTACCGAAAGGGTCCCAAACGACCTAAATCGATCTCCAAAGTTTTGGCCAAATCTTTTTTTTTTGGTATTTTATTTTTTTTAGACTGATTTTATTATTATTATTTTTTTGCAAAAGCTCTCGGTGTTGGGTTTTTCATTCTAGACATTGTGTTTTTTTATTTTTTTTCTTTGCCACAATGTTTTTTTTTTTAATTTTTTTGTAGGGTATCCCTTTTTATTCCCTTTGTTACTGGCTTCATTACTCTATTTATAGAGTAAAAAGAAGACCAAAATCTTAAAAAATTTGAGATTTTGGTGGCCTAGGATTAGAGCGACCACTGACTGTTAAAACGATTGTCAGTAGTTGTCAAGACTACTAAAAGCACAGCTGCAGGCGATTGTCAAAGTTGCTGCCAGAAAAAAAAAAGAGAAAAAAAAGAAAAAAAATAAAAATAAAAATAACAAAATGGTGTCTACAATATATATGAAAAGTTTAAGGACTTTTTAAAAATGAATATTCGAAAAGTTATGCATTCGGAAAAGTTCTTAAACCTTCCGTATCTACATTAAACTAAAAATTGTTGAAGGATAAAAAGATTTTAATAATGGTAATTAAGTAATTTTATTCATAAATATTTTGTTTTAAAAATTATTTTTTTGGTGTAAAAAGTAAGAAGTAAAGTGCATTTAGAAGCTTCCTTCCATTTTACCTCGTTCTCTCTCTTTTTTTTTTTTTTTTTTTTTACCTTAAGACTACAGTTTATGGACAAAAATGTCCCTACCATTTAGCATTTTCTTTTTTTTTTTATTTTAATTTTTTATTTAAAAAAATTTAAATAACTTCATTAATCTAACATACTAAATGTAAAATAAAATAATTAATTAATAAATAAATACGAAATAATACATAAATAATAAATTATATAACCAAATCAATTATTAATAAATGAACACAAATAAATATCTTTGTAATTTCTACGAGTTAAGAAAAATAGATAACTACATGAATAATAAAGAAAATAAAACATTAGTTATTGTTTATATGAGTAAATGTATTATTATCTTTTTAAGAAATAGTTATTTTTAGATAAAAATTATCATGTAAATAAATATATAAAAAATAATCAATTTTTTTCAAAAAATTACTTGGTATATTACTACCATTTTTTTTTATAAAATTTCAATTATTTGTTAACAAAACTATTATTGGACATAAAAATAATTTTTTATTAACTGCATAAATGAAAAGTAAAAAAAAAATTTCATTATATATAAACCCTTTTTTAATATTTTTAATAGTTATTTTTCTTTTTCATTATACTTCACTTTACATATTTTATCATTTATTTTATTTTTATCACTATAATAATTAATCTCACTGTTACAATAATTAATTTTATCTTTACTTTTTATTTTATTTTAAATTTTTTTAAAAAATATAAATTTAATTAAGTGATTAATTGTATCTAAATAAAAAAAATTAGTCATGATTTTATATCTTTCATCTAATGATTGAGTCTACGGAGTTGAACATTATAACCATCACTGTCTATGATTCCTAAAAATTTTAAATTGGTTCATGATGGACTTGGTGTTTGTCGTGATCTTGGATGATTTAGGTTGGATTTAGATGTCATTGGAGCCATGTTTCAACGCAATTATCATGGTTTTTTTATGGAATCGAGCTGTAGCAAAACGTTTGGATAACAAATTATGGTGCAATTGTTGCAAAAAATTTGCACTGGAACTCCATTTTTATATCGGACACTGCTCCTTTTAGTGAAAGTTCTTTTATATCTCCTTTCCAATATTATCCCAATTTTTTTTTTTTTACCCTTAAAATTATAATAATGGATAAATATATCTTTACATTTATATATTTATGAATAAATATATTATTATTAATTTTTAACAAATTTATGATTCGATAAAAAAATAATTTTATTAATTTTTAATTATTTGTTAAATTTATAAATATCAAATATATTATAAAATTTATTAATATAATTTTAATCTAATATCTTTAACAATAATTTTTAATTTTTATTATACTTTATTTATTATTATCGTTGTTTTTATATTTAAATATTTATCACTAATTTTAAAATTTTTATTATAATTAATTTTATTTTTATTATTATTTTTAATTCTATTAAAATTAATCTCAATGGACCTTAGTCATGATTTTTTTTTGTTATTTTGTGGTGGTGTTGCGGTGGTAGAAGGAAAAACAAAGTTGTTAGTGCTTGGGTGCTCAGAATGGTTTGGTTAAAAGATTGAAATATGAGCTTTTTCTTTCTTTTTTTTTATAATAATTGATAGAGAAAGCCAATTTTTGGGTTTTTTTTCATTTACTCTGAAAAGATTAAACTCATCTTACCATCTAACTAAAAATTACAGATAATAAAAAAAAAAAATACTGTGATTAAAATAAAATTAATGACGGGTGTGATACACTCATCATATTTTTTTTAATTATTATGTCCGAGTAAATGAAATATTTATTTATTAAAATAAATAAAATGGGATCTTGATTGGAGACAAAATTAAGCATTTAGGGAAAGAAAGCGTCTTTTACGGCTTCGTCATTGCTGATCCCAAGTCAACATCCGCAAAAAGTGATCCCAAGACCAAGTCCCCTCCAATTATTTCCCTACCCTCCTCGGATATTACCCCGCATTTCCCCAGCTCTGGACCCCACCATCGCCCTCCGCTCTCGAAAGAAGTTTCTTTCAAGAGGTAACGAGTTTACCCTGATGTATTGCAAAGCATTCTTTTCTTCTTTTATCTTCTTAATTAATAAAACGAAATTCTTACGACATTTATTTTTGTTTTGGATATAGAAAAGGAGGGAGATCAAAAAAACAATGACAGGATCTCCACCAAGCGAGAGGAGCACGTCGTTGATGGACAACTTGATGGGTCTGCTGAGGATTCACATCAAACGGGGCGTAAACCTTGCCGTTCGTGATGTCCGAAGCAGCGATCCTTACGTTGTTGTCAAGATGGGCAGACAGGTTTTCCTCTTCTTCCTTTCACTTTCTGTTGGCAACCCCCACTCCTCCCTTCCATTTCAGCTCAAATTACATTACATTTATTTATTTTGGGTTTCGATCGTTTAAATTTTCAATGATAACACTGTCAAATCTATCAATATTTGATTGCATGAAGATTAATAAGCAGAGATTGGTTTGATTGATGGATCTCAAATATTTTCTCAAAGTTGACTTCAACAATAATGAGTAACTCTAAAATTACTAATAATTTTGAGAGAGTAATGGGATAGACGAGTAAAAGCTCTGCTGCTTAATCATTAGAAATTAATGAGAGAAGAATTTGATGCTACTAATTAGAGTGAAGGCAACTATGTAAAACTTCATCTTGTGTTAAAATTATCACAATAATCATTCTTTTTATCAACAATTTAAAATTCAGAAGCCCTCATTCGCTTCGATGCCTAAATGAAAAATTGTTCAATACACCATCATTGGAGTTTTTGAACTCTAGTACCTCGTTAGGATATATTTAAAAATTTGAAAAAAATAATATACTAAATAATGAGATGTGTGTCAAGCTCCATCAACGGCGTGAATGATAGTCCATACCTTAATTGCCTTTTGTAAATTATGAAAGGAAGTGTATCCCTTGTGCATGCATCAACCTAACTTGGATTTTTCATCTTGAACATGAGTTTTTTCACTAAAAAGGAAAAAAAAAAAAGAAAGGAACCATTTTTAAGTTCCATTTTTTTGTAATTATTGTTTGAGTAATTTTCAGCATCTTACTCGTTCAATTTCGTATGTAAATATCTCTTGCAGAAATTGAAGACTCGTGTAATAAAGAAAGACGTTAATCCTGAGTGGAATGAGGATTTAACTCTTTCCATAACAGATACTAGTCTTCCAATCAAGCTGGTAAGCCTTTTGGTTACTAGTTTTTTTTGTCAATCTTTTGGTTACTAGTTACTTTATATCAATGTAGTGCAAAAGCGGAGTGCCAGTTCGATTACCAATGCTTGAATTATATGGAAGAACTTTTAGCACCTAACTTCTAAAGATAAATTTATTCCAAGAAAAATTCCATTCCTCATGTTTTGCATCTTCTAGCTTTAACTGGAATCAAATTTCCATCAATGCATAATGATGCTTGTTACCTACATGTATAAGCAAACATGTTTGGCCTTTGGACTAGTGATTAGGGATTTTGATGCTGTAGATGTTTTGCTTTTTCCACTATTTGCTAGGCTAAACCTGGATCTTTGAGTTGTGAGATAGCTCATGTTCTGTTCATATTGATTCTATTACAAATTTGGGTTTGTTAGTTGTTTGACTACCTGGTAACTATACATTTCTTTCAGGAATTTAGTTTGAAGCAATTTTCTATTTTAGTGGTGTCTTGATTCATTGCTTATGGGCAGCTTTCAGATTGCTGATAGACTGCAAAACACAGTCAAATCATAGAAGAATAGCATACATGAGCTGTTGACATAGCGTCACTTACACCTCCTCCCATAAAATAAATGAAAGGTGGAAAAAAAAATTTAGTGCTGCGTTTTCAGCGTGGTATCCTAACCAACAATGACAGAAGCTGGTCTGAATATGCTGCTTCTGGGCCAGATGTTTTCCTATTATTTTTTTGTTTCCTATTTATTTTTAATCTCTTAATGATAATCGCTTTTGTGCTGGCAAGAAAACAGAATAAGATTGATGAATGCTTAAAAGGTAACTTATTTATTTTGAAAGATAAAACATAAAACATAAAAGAAATTTTTAGGCTAATAAGTATTGGTGCCCCTTTGAATCAAATTTTGGCTTTGATGACAACTGAAAATTTCAACCACACACTGCCAACTCCTTTCTTTTCTTCCCCCTCTCTTTTTCAGCTATAATCATGTTTTGTACTTTTGGCATTTTAATGTACGAGGTCATTATCTGGTATTAAGTTTGTTTACAGTATTTTCTATTTCTGCATGTTTCCAGACTGTGTACGACCATGACACTTTTAGTAAGGATGACAAAATGGGTGATGCAGAGTTTGACATCAGGACATACATAGAAGCCTTGAAGATGCATGTGGGGGAAATCCCAAGTGGAACCATAATATCAAAAGTGCAACCAGGTAGGAAGAACTGCCTGGCTGAAGAGAGCGCCGTTTACTGTCAGGAAGGAAAGGTTGTCCAAGACCTTTGCCTCAGATTGAGAAATGTGGAGTGTGGTGAAGTTGAAATTCAACTGCAGTGGATTGACATTCCCGGATCTCAAGGTTTATGAAGTTGATGAATGCTCTTTTGTCTGGCTTCTGTCTTGTATGTTTTGGTGGCAGGTTCCGGAGCTTCCGCTACCCAATTCCCTGCCAGATTCATGATGAGGTTGGTTTGTTCTCTGAACAGTTTTGAGTAGTCAAATCTGTGAAGTAGTATCCGAATTATGGCTCATGCATAGAATTGAACAAATTTTGGTTTATCTCATCATGGATATCGGATACGAAATGAAGTAATTACCTTTTTGTACAATGTAATTTACTAAACTGAACTGTCTTTGCCAGAAGCTATCCCTGCTAAAAGGTTCTTCAATACATATTAATTTACCAATCACCTTCAAGGTGATAGAGCTCTTTGTGAAAGACAAAAAAAGAAAAACAAAATGCTTTCTCATATTGAATTTTCTCAGTCGACAAGCAGAAATTACTAGATAACATTGCATACCATTTTGTTTGGTGTTTCTGTACAATGAGTAAGGGATTTGAACTTTGAACCTCAAATTTCTAGGCTGATATTGTAAAATGCTTTTTTGCAAAATTTGTTGCATTTGGTTAACAGCTTTTTGCAAGAAATCTAAAGACAGATGGCAAGGCTCCGAAATCAGAGTTATATGATCATATTTCCATTTAACTTGTGTAGCTAATTGACTTCATTACATATTTAGAAAACTATAGTTGTACTTTTCAAAAGTTAAAAATCTTGGTTGAAAAGCAAATTTTTTTTTTTTAAATCGTGGAAGCGACATCCATGTGAAATTTAGTGGGCTTTCAGCTAAACTTTGGTTAGACGCTTTCTGCCCTAATTTCAACATAATCTTGCCGGCTGTAGCCCAACATAATCTTTTTCATTTTTTCCTTAACAAAGACAGTTTGGTTTTGGATCATTTTGACCAAATACTCGATTACACATCATGCTTCTTTCCATGGTTATAATGCTAGTTTAATGATTACTGTAAGCAGCCATCCCGCTAAGTTGGAGTGAACTATTTTTCTTTCAAAATTTTATTATTATTATTATTTATTAATTTTTTTATTATTTAAAAAATATTTATAATTAATTTAATATGTCATTTAATAATAGTATTATAGTAATTTTAAATAAAATGTCACATATCAACTTTCTATGAAAGAATCATAAGGGTATTTTCATAATTATAATAAGAGCATTATAGTAATTTTAGTCAATTATGATAAGATGTGTATTTTTGTAATTCTGATAGGAAGCCATTATAGTAATTTTGGCTAATTATGGTAAGAGGGTATTTTTGTAATTATGGTAAGATGAGTATTATAGTAATTTTGATTAGTTATAGTAGAAGGAGATCTTCATAATTATGTTAAGAGGAACATTATAAATATTAGGACAATGTCAACTCATTAAAGAACCATGATGGGGTATTTGATTAGCAGAATCTTAGATTTTGGAGAAAGTGTAACACATGAGGTTTTGTTTGATTTTTACGGCATCTTGTATTCAGATTCACACATTTGGTTGTGAAAATTCACGTTTATTAATTCATGAATAATTACCATAATCTCTTTAATAAGCTGTATGTAACTATTCATTTTGTTTTAATAATAAATACCCAAAACGACAAATGATGTTTTTAGCAGCAAAAGAAATAAAAATTTTAATTGATAGGTTTTATAATTTATAAAAGATCATCAATTAAGGCATTTGTTAATATGAAAGCCGTAATTAACAGGTTTTATAATTTATAAAACGTGATCAATTAAGGCGTTTGTTAACATGAACACGTTAATTAATAGGTTTATATTTTTTAAAACATCATCAATTAAAGCGTTTGTTAATATGAACTCCTTAATTGATCTTATTTTTTAATTTATAAAAATGGTCAATTAAGGTGTTTGTTATTATGAACGTTTTAATTGATTTGTTTTTTATAATTTATAAAATATGATCAATTAAGGTGTTTATTAATATAAACGCCATAATTGATGTATATATATATATATATATATTAAAACATGACCAATTAAGGTGTTTGTTAAGATGAATGCCTTATTTGCTTGTTTAAGATTCTAGAACTGGCGTTTGTTCAAAGGAAATGCTTTAATTGATTAATTTTGTTTTCAATTATGATGTTTATTGGTAGAAACGCTGTCATTGATGCCCAATTAAAATAGTTTTAATTACTCAATTAAGGTGTTTATGTAACATAAACGTTGTAAATGAGTTATTTTAAAACCATAAACCATTCACTTTTTATTCTTAAACCTTGAAAAACCAAACGGCTAAAGTACTTCAATGATAAACGGAGCCATTCGTGTATTTTGAAAACCATAAACTCAATCACTTTCCATTTTTGTTTCTTCATCTCCCTCGTCATCATCGACCGTGGTACCATCAACACCATTGCACATTGTCTAACTCTGGTAAGTGCGGATTTATACCTTTTTTTTTTCTTGTTTATTCATCTATGTATGACTTTTTTTTTTGTTCTTCCTTATTATATATATTTATATATTTATTTATATATGCATTTAACACTGTCACCAATGTCGCATAGCCTCCTTGCAATGCATGCATGGTATTTTTTTCGTTGTTTAGTTGGAGTTTTGTGGTTTGCCGATTGCTTTCATGGAAAATAGGTCTTATATTTTTTTCTCATTTGTTTTGCATGGACTTTTATGATATGATGAAACACAGTATGGCTTGTATCGTGTATATTATTATTGGTTTTATTACGTGTAATGTATATTGATGTATTTCTTGAATTGGATATTGGTTGTATTTATTGTGTGGATACTTTCAAAGAAATTTTGGTGTATTTCATATTAGTTTTTTTTTTACATTTTATATAATTTTGATCAAAATTGTAAGTATTATGACTTTCGAAGAACATATGTCTCCCTTTACTGAACATGAAAAAGACACACCTGCCTTGAAAAAAAAGATCAAAGGTACGTAGTAAATCGCTTAAAATGAGTGGAACAAAAATTCATATAGAGTTCAATTAAGATGGGTAGCTTATGTTAAGTGGAGGTGCAGAGTTGGCTAGCCACATTGGAGTTGTCGTCCAGTATAGCATATCCATTACCTATTTTAGTTGGTGGATGGTTCTTGATGATAAGAAAGACATTATATAGGAATCGGTTGTGGTAAGTTTAATCAACGAAATCCAAAGTATTGTTAATTGTTAATGGAATTGAATTATTGTGTTGAATTTATTTAACTTAATTATTTTTATAGGACTTGTTTGACATCCCAACCCAGTATAAAAAGTTTGTGTTGCAATCGATTAAGAAAGCATTTAGAGATTTTAAGAGTAGATTGACAACCAAATATATTTTACTATTCGCTAATAATTCTGAATTGTTGTCTGATCCTCCAAAGACATATACAAATGTTATCAGTTATGAATATGATCGTAGTTTGTTTGAAATCGTCTATCAGATGAATTCTTAATATGCATACCTAGTTTTTTAATTGTTTATAATGTATTGTTTAATATAATTGTATCTTAATATGTAATTGATCTTTCTTTTTTTAGAAAATCAAATAACAATAAAAGAACATAAAGGTCTAACAAGTATATCACCATCGGACATAAAAAAAGAGTCATAAAATGTCAAGCATGATTTTGTAAGTATTCAAATGCTTTTATTATACTCATAGATGAATATTATGAAACGCATTAAATGAAAATGTGAAACTTATTTTGATTCATGGTTTCAAAAACATCTAGCTCTAGAACCAAAATTTCTAGATGGGATGTTTAGAAAAATAGACATATGTGTAAAGATGAATCATATGAAGATGAGTAACTGAAGAAATGGTTAAAAGGATTGTAAGTTGATTTTGTTTTTATATCACGGATGATGAATGTGCTTTTATGCATGACTAAATATTGTATTTGGTTATTTACTCACCATCATGTTATGTTTAAGATGAATTTGCTATGAGATATAAATGTGGTGACTTGCAAACCTATTGTAGTGAAAATCTTTTGTCTTTAGCTTTAGGATCAAAAGAGAGACATGGTCAAGTTCAGGAGGTTGGGAGTTTTGACTCGCCATCATAGTTTTTCAAGAATCAATTGAAACCCCATGCAATGAAAAATATAAAATATGAAGCAATAATTCAACAGCAATAGCAAAGACTTTATGACCAAGAGCAATGCCTTAATGAGTAACAATAATGATTTACTGCATTAGAGGCAATGTTGGTACCTATGCAACCTAACATTGCTCGGGGTCAATCAGGTACCGACATCCAGCATGGAGATGAATTCGCTAATAAGTGTTACAACAATCCCTTTATCTGATAATCATCATTGTTGTTTTATTTTTTAGTTAACTTTTTAATTTTAATTTTTAATTTTTAAATTATTTAAAGGAATAATATTTTAAACTTCTTTGTAACAGGATGTTCAACCTGAAATGATGACACCTATATAGTCTGCTATCAATGTATTAACAACTTATGCTTGTGAGCGTTATTTAATAGGAGAATGCATTACCATTCAGGTCAAGAGTGGATTATTTGATTATCCCTTGACTCAGTACATAAGGCTATTAGAGATTGATGTATTTTGTACCATGGATGAGATATTGGGATCTAATATTGTTGCGTATATGAGGTTAGCTTATCATTTAATTTAAATATATATTTTTAATTTATTTTCTTATATTATATAGTAGTACTAAATGATATTGTTTATTATTATCATCCAGTTTCCTATACAAAGGGATCAAGGAGAGACAATTGACTGATAGATATAGATTAATTGACCTAAATTCTATCAGTCATGATTCTGGCACTCTTAGGACTCGTGCTAGTCATGTGAGTCAATTATTGCAAAAATTGTTCCAATATTATTTGGTGCCTTATAAGTCCAGGTATGTTCTATTTGTAGTAATAATTGGATCATTTATGATATCTAATAAATTTTGTATAAATGTATACCAAATTTATAAGTTTAATATGTAATACATTTTAACATTATCATGCATATTATTTTGCAAAAGTCATTGGCAGCTTATTGTAATTGAGGTTAATATGTGGACTCATTATTGAACTTCAGAGAAGCAGGGTTAATGCCTAAACCCAATTTTGCCTATTTAATCAAGAGTAATTACATTTTACGTATAAGTGACAATTTAATTAAAATGTATTTTTCTGTAATTACTAGTATTTATGTTAACGATGGTTTTTGTGTTCTTTTCAGGGGAATGGCTTTAGTTCATAGAAATAGAAAGTTCAATAAGTGACATTACTGGTAAGTGTATAATATATTCTTTTATGGTGAGTTTGTTTAGAAAAATGTTTATCAACTAACTCAATTTTATTTTCAGGTTCCTTGTCAACCAGGAGTTACCAAATGAGAATATTATGTTCTTCGCTTTATGAGGGAGATTGTTATGTATGATTTTATGAGTACACCGTTCAAGGTGAGTATAAGTCATTGATAATAACATGTTTGACTTAAACTTATATTATATTATGCATGTTGATTAACATTGACTTCTTATATTTTATTTTTAGTTAGCACAAAGGATAGCTTTATAGAAGAAGAAATTGATGAAGTACATAAAGAATGGTGTGATATGTAGCCACCT